GGCCCCTTAGGAGTTCGGGATGGCACAAACCAAGGTCCAGCATCCTCATCCTCATCATCAAAAGTCCGCTTTCGGCGAAGCCTAAGCTGAAACACGGTCGTGTACGCTGTAAGAAAACAAACATGTTGTCAGTGGGCAACATGTTGGGGTTGCTGCTTTATGGAATGTTAATTTGCATGCATCATGCGCGTGTAGGCAAACATAGACTATGGAAATAGCACCCATGCACGACGCACATCCAAACAAGAAACCTGCACTCCTTGGCAGACTTTGGGGTGACCAGCTTGGACATAATGGAGTCCTTGGATTGAGGTTGCATGCACATAAAAACTTAATGCATGCGAAGTCATGTGCATATTCCATGAATCCACAACCGGTCGGTCATGAGGTATAGGGCATCCAAGACTCTGCGTTCACTGCAGCCGAAGGTAGGGCACGTCACAAAAAGAGGCTGCGGAGAAAACACGTTCTTTTGGTCATTGCATGATAGTCTTGCCGCAACATTGATTCAACAGTCATCAAGTTCCATATTAATTGCAAGCCACCAATCGCAACCTTTGTTTGCTGCACGGAAACTTCTGTTCCAACACTCCATGATGAACCAGTGAAAAGCGTGCATAGGAATAGCCTGGCTAAACACCTGCACACCTGACTTTCATGCTTAATTGCACAATTTGTGCGTGCATGAGCCCCCCGAAGATACTATGGAATGCTAAGCTTGCGCTAAACAAGCACTGCTGCATATCCATGAATTGAAACAAAATATGAAATATAAATGTCGCACAAGCAAGCACAAAAACATTCCCAAATTCCCAACCATATCTTGGATGGGTAGAATCCTAAGCTCCACCCTGTGCAATGGCCGAAGCCCTTGGAGGCCTGGGAAAACCGCTCAATGAAGGTGAAACCTTTCCATGAAATCTCAGAAGCTTTGTAGCCAATTTTCCGGCCTAAGTATTGCACGACAAACACACAGAATCATTCACTACTGGAACGAAACAAGCCACACCTTTCATGATTCATGACATGCACACTAACCCCGCACACAAAGGTCCAATGAACTACATCTCACATGCATCCAATTTTAGATCACAATTCAACCTAGCTACACTGCGGGCGTTCTCGTCGGAACCAGTAGCTGCCTTTGCTCTGCGATATGCTGAAGAATAGACGGAGTTGACTGCTACATGAGTTGGTGCATCAATGCAATCCGGCGGGATCTCAATCTCTTCCACCTCCTTGGCCAAAGCAACCTCAACCGAGGGTTCAGCAGGAGATGCCTTCCTCTTGGCCTTTGTTTTCCTTCCTGACTTCTTTGAGGTAGCACCAGCCTTGACATCATTGTCCGGCGCCTCGGCGGGAGCTGAGCGCTTGGCCTTTGCCTTTGGTGCTGAAGCTGCTGAGGCTTCACAGGATGCTGCTCGTTGCCGCTTTTTGGACTTGACATGCCCAACAGCCTCCACTGCATCCACCTGACTTGGGTGCGCATCACTGGGCATGCGCTTCTTGGCATTCTTTTTGGCATTCTTCTTGACCTTGTTGGTCTTCTTGGATCTCTTCTTGCCTTTCCCCAGCTGTTTGGCCTTGTCCAACTTGGATCTCTTGGGCTTTCTCCCACGTGGTTGCCCTTGCTCCGAATAGTTTGGCGGCGTAGCCTGGGAAACCACAGCGCTGACAGAGTTCAACAAGCCCTGTCCAAGGTTCTCAAACTCAGTCTCGCCAGCCACAGGAGTTGGCACAGAACCTGCATGAGGCTTCTGAGATTGATCCCCAGTAGTGCCGTCAGGGTCTTGAGAATCCTGCCATTGAGGATCCCATTGAGAATCTTGCCATTGAGAATCTTGCCAAGTCTGTGCGACGAAAGCCTGAGATTTCTCGGGATGTATGGACATTGACATCTTCTCCTCTTCAGGCAGGCGACCCACGGTAATCACTTTCATGCACCGCGGGTTCTTCGCCAAGGGATCTGCCTTGGGGTTGAGAGATTCCTCCAAAGCAAGTTGTGCATAGTACTCCTCAGAACTCAGAACTGCTTTAAACATTTATATTACTTGATCGAGCATAGTTGCACGTACACAAGTTTTCATGCACATGCAGCATGCATAAAACGTAATTATGTCCAAGGGTCTTCAGAGAATTCTCGAAGATGTCGTCCACCTTGATGTAGCACCTGCATGCAAGAGTTGAGCAACACCTCCCCTATGTTGATATATTGTATACGTACATAGATAACATGACACATTAGAAGCTTGTGCACGCTTGGATAACAAGATCTCGCCTCAGCGGGTTCCTCAACAGAACTCGTAGGATCATCTCCACCAGTTCCATGCACCTCATTGATTGAAGTCTCAACCATAGATAGGGTCCCATTCGTCTCAACACCACCATCTTCATGACGCAAAGCAGCTTGAGCGGTGGATCTGGTCTCGTTTGTCTCAGCAGTCATAGGAACCTCATCATCGCTGAGTATGAGAATTTCATCCTGAGTGTCATTGTCATCTTGTCCCAGGATGAGGGTTTTGGCACGCAACAAATCCTGGGCGTGCATGGACTTCACCTCAGCCACAGCGACTGTAGGCTCCCCAAATTCCCCAGCTTCCGCACGTGCAACCAAATTCTTTTTGGTTGCAAGATTGAGGGCCGCGGTCAAGTCTCCATTGGCTTGTGCCAGAAGAGCCCTGGCGAGGAGCTCATCAAGACCACAACAACTGATCATGACGTCCAGATCCTCTGCATGAAAAGAAGGCTCCAAGCTATAGTAGATGTTCACCTGATCATTGATGATGAGAGGGTCTGTGGTATCATAGATGGTGCAAAGATGGTGCACGAGCTTCAGATCATGCCATACATCCTCAGCGACATCTGCACCCACTGCCTTTGCCATTTGCTCTGTGGTTTCAAAGCGACTGACAAACTCAATTGAATCTTCCAGGGTGAACTCCTTCCCATCAACAATGGCATTGCTCGGTTTACCCTCCTCTTCAGGGACATCCTTCTGTTCAGGGACGGTCTCCTTGTTCAGAAGGGGCTCCTGGTGACCGAAAGTGTGGGGTAAAAGTCAAAAACAAAATCGCATATATACGTAATTATACTGAATCAACTGTGCATCATGACACAACAGAAGGCACATGTCCAATGATGCCACTCCTGCGGGCGTGTCTCGTGTTCGGTCTCTGAATCCATAACCATGATCACCGCGCCTGCGCGTACCCCAAAAAGTCAGACCCTAACTCCCAGCATGCATGAAAAAAACACACGTATCCATCCCGCCTTTCACCGCTTTCTTCTTACGGCAGGATTCACGGTGCCGTTGAGGATTGGGTTTGAGAACTGCTTTGAGCTGCAGGGCTACATCCGTTTTCGATGATCTGGATAGTGATTTTCGCCAGTAACGACGTGCATACGACAACAACCCCTGTAGAATGTAACTTTCCTTGGCGTGGAAAAACAGCACATCATGCACTCATGATGCATGGATGGTCTATAAATTGGTTGCATGCAACTCTAAAATCAAAATTTGTTAAACATGCCCTAAAAATCATTGAGCGCCCATTGACGCCGTTCTTTCTTGAATTTGCCCTTGCTTAGCTTGAATTCCGACTCCCAATCTAGATGCTGGAATACCTTCTCGATATGTCCGCCAGCAAAATTCCCTCAGTTCACAAAGCAAGGAACCTGACCTAGATCCACCTAATGCAGAGGAAAAGCTTTACTTTAATGCAATGCGCATATATAACATATTGCATACAGGCAACCCTCCGGACTGATAGAAAATATCTCTAGCACCAACGGCAAATATGTTTCCAAATCGTCGATGTTGATGTCAAAAGAGCTCACGTCCGGGAACAAGGTGTTGTCCGGACGTTTTGCTTGCGCACAGTTCACGAAACATTCGACAGGCATATGAATCTTCAGTGCTCCTTACCATCCCATGGGTGAAAAAGGACGTATACATGCCACAAACACACATCCATTAAAGAAAACAAAAACGGTTGGATCAAACATGAGTATCGTTCAATCTCCCTTTCAACGCCATGCAGTGATGGAGCCAGAGATCCCGCCATTGCCACCCTATGCTTGAGCCCTTTCCAGTAGTATGTGAATAGACGAATCTATATTGCATGCATGCATGATATGATATGTAGAATCCTTGCAAACAAAGACTCATGATACACGAGGCCGTCCCTGAACCCTGCATCGACCCATATTGACCCACTGTCCTCGCTTGCAATGTCCGCGAGGCATTGGAAAGACCAGTGCAGTACCAGTGCCATCACGCTCATGAGAAAAGATGATGCTGACCAGCCGGGCTGGATAAAGGAAAACAATGGGAAGGTCTAAACATGTGTAAACCCTCAATGGGATATTGCATGGTGATTTGGTCCTATCATGTCCTATCATATCTATCTATGGTCTCATGCAAGATGGGAACAAAAAGGCCAGAAAGCCACTGGTTTTGCATGGTGTGTGCAATTGCTGGATCCATGTGGGTCTGAACATGTGTGATGTAACCATCAGTGAAACACAGGCCTTGAAGCTTGGGCCCTCATGGGCCCTCGCGGGCCCTCGCGACCCCTCGATGTAAAATCCATGATGTCCGCGGGCCCTCCCTCAGGAAGCCGAGGGCCCCGACCCCTCTCATCGACATCCCAAAGAAGCTTAGGGATATAGAAATCAAGAGATCTACACTCCCTTTTTCTCGGCGGAGGAGCGTGGATGGTTTCTCCGGTACGACTCGGATGCGGTTCATCGGTCGATCCGGTATGAGGAGCAATCGACTTCGTACCTCCAAACCGCTTCGGTATGACTGGACCTACCTCCCATGGCACCCGAACCGAAGCGGTTCGGTACGACGAAACGAGGCCGAATGGGTGATAAGATATAATACTGGAGGTCCACTGCGCCCGTGCTTTGGTGGGGGAGGTGCCTGGGATCGAGCCCAGTTTCGCGTGGCGCCCGTCGCGCCATCCCACCGAGCGGGACTGGTTCATCAAAGGTTCAACCTTCAAGAGCTCCTGGTAGACCTGTGGTGAGGTCAGGAGAGAATGGAGAGCGATTCATCGCCCGGATGCAGGGAGAATGCAAAGAATGCCACCAACCACCAACAAAAGATTGGTGGAACGTGCAGAACAAACTGGAACTTGTTTATATAAGTTCTACTCGGTGCTTTTTGCGCTCACTGCTTGGTTTGGTGGAGTGCAATTTTCCTGCACTGGCACATGCCTCTTTAGCTGAGTACAATCAGCATCGACGCGGCCAAAGATCGCAAGCTGAACTGCATCTGAGTCCCAAGATTTGCTAACTTCCTTCCCCAAGCACCCACACAGGTGTGCACCGGAGAAAACCGCCCTGGTTATGTTTGTGCAACTCCTGGGTTCATTTTGAACACTGGCCCATGTGTCTCTCCAAGGCAAAAGTCGAGCTTCACATCATTTCACATACCTGCATCTTCGAAAGGAAACACATGATCTATAGTCTTTAGTGGGTGGACCATATCATACCATCTCTTGGAGCCCCCCAAGTTGGTGCTTTCAGTCGACCCACTTGGTCCACTTGAGCCAAGTCCCCGCCTTCAGGAGTTTGTTCTTATCCGATGGGATGAAATTGGGATCCTCCACCTGAGAACTGGCCCAAGGAGGGCTGCGAACGCGGCAAATTTCAGCGGGCTTCAAAGAACAACAGCCCTCCAGGGCCGTCGAACCCTATAAGTTTAACTTCATAGAGCTTTACTTGGGAAGCTGGTCTCCAACATGTCTCAGCAACCAATTTTGCACTTTCCGGGAAGCTGGTCTCCAACATGTCTCAGCAACCAATTTTGCACTTTCCGGGAAGCTGGTCTCCAACATGTCTCAGCAACCAATTTTGCACTTTCGTACAGGTTTCGATCAATTCTTGCTGCATGCAGTCCTTGGTCCCCATCTGTCCTATCATCATCCCATCTCACAGTTGTCACCCTTTGATCCCCCCAAAAAAGACTGGATACATGATGATAAATGCAGTGACCTGTCTAATCAGCTACCCTTGCAACCAATGATGCCCCTTTGGGAAACATTGAGTGGCTTCATGTACCTGGTTGGCTGTTCACCAACCAAGCCGTAGAAAGGGGGGAAAATCCATGAATCAACCAACCAAGGAAGCAAGATGAACCAAGGCCATATTTACAGCCATCAAGCCCTGCCTTGCCTGTGGGTCTTGGCACCCGTTTCGCCCGTTTCACCCTGGTAGGTCGACCAAAACCAGTAATCTATTTTGCTCATTTTCGGCAGGTCAACCCATATGTTTTGGGGGGGTTCCAAAGGCATATCTCAAGGTCTCCTGAATCAGACGAATCCAAGGAATCCAAGGAACTCTTTGTCTCACCCATTCGATCTTCTGCAAGTCACCGATGTGCATATACCTTAAGCAATCAGCTAGGCCGAGGTCGGCATCGGGGTTTTTCGAGGAGATCGTTTCGTCTCGCCCACGGCTGGCCTGGGTGATGTCCTCGTCATGGTCTTTGTCCGCTCATTAAGACTCTTGATTAATACCCTAGGGATCCAAGTACCTTCTCAGAAGGTGTTTGGGGTGGGTTTGGAGGGTCCAAGTGCCTTCTGTGAAGGTACTTGGATCCCTAGGGATAAAGCTTTCATATGAAGAGGATTTCAAAAAAAAGAGGTTATTCATCAAGAGTCTACAGCTGTCACCACAGAACCCCCGACAGGTTATTCAATAGCAATGATGACAATACTCACTCCAAGAGTGTTGCTTGAAGGGACATGTGTGGAAATCGATTCATGCTTGGCCTTCTCTATAAATCGTTCTCACGTGTTCTCACCCATAGTATCAACCTCACGAGCAGTACTCTTAATTGGCTAGATGATGCGCACCACAACGAGGTATACAAAAAATCATATTACTGTGAGGCATGGCACCTTCTCCACGAAAACCGGGTTCCGGTTGGCAGCCCTGAAACCTTAGGGATCCAAGTAGATTCTTAGAAGAGTGATTGCAAACACTGCTATAATGTAGACTCTTGATTCATAAACCCACCACCCCATTTGAATTGAACAACCTCTTCATATGGGGGGTGTATTAATCAGGAGTCTACATTATGTAGGTGCCAGGAGGGTCCAGTCGTACCGAAGCTGAGAAGGACTGGATACCTAGGGAAAGTAGGAATCGGTTCATGTTTGGGTCCACCAGGGTGCCCAGAAGCTTTTGACCTACAGACATGTTGAGCACCGGCATCACAGCGAGGTCTCAACAGCGACCAAGCTCGCTCGATTCGTTGACTTCCCTGGGACTAGCCCATTTCACCCCGTCAACCACTCACCCCAAGCGATTTTGCGGGTTCCTTTCATTGGAACACTGGAAGTGGATGTGTTCGTGGATGTGTTCGTCCGAAGATCCCCTTGGAACACTGGTCGCAGGAAGTGGATGGCGTGGTCTCTTGGAAGACTCCTTTCCCAAAAGTTCCATCATGTTCCATTCACTTCATTGTATGAATATATATGTCCGTTGTATCAACCATACCTGGGACCAAGCAGCTCGATGCCAACGGAGCCTGAGTACCTCAGGTGGTCGGCCCATGGGGTGGACAATGGAGACGGTGTGGAAAGCCCATTCTATATGGCTTACCCAGACGCTCATGGGCCCTCATATGGAGGGGTCGGACCCTCATATGGAGGGGTCTGGGGTCTCAAATCCCTAGGGTTTTGAGGTACCAAGAGCTGTTTGGAGCGTCTGGGTATATGCTTAGGCCTTCGAAGTGGGCCCTGCGCACTGTGGACCATTCTAGGCTGTGTACCAGGCCTCACCTGTAACCAACTCCCAACTCCGAGCATTGGACCCCATCTGCCATCTGCCACGGCGAAATGATCGACGACCCGATGACCCGACGACCCGATCCACAGGCACATCCAACGGTGGAATCACATCTCGATCGGATCCCGTGCCGAGCGTGCAAATCGGACACACGACAAACCATATCCTCAGGTTCTAACCACCCCCGGCATCCACCCCAACTATCTTCGAAACGGAGATGGGCCAGGAGCCCTCGGGTCTGACTTTATTAACGATTTGGTCGCTGACCGGTCCAACACGAAGACCGTGGAAGACGTGCAAACACGAAGAGCTTCGGTTCGACCTTCCTCCGCATCGAACATCTCCTGGTCCACCTCTGAAATGATCCCTTTCCTCATGAGCCTTCTCCCTCTCCGAAGTCTTCGCCCTCTCTGAAGCCTTTGGCCCCGGTGGCGTCCGTTTCAGGGTGTCCACCACCTCTTGCAGCGTGTGTTCTCCGTTGAGCCCCGCCAAGCTCACCTCGTTGACGCGCGCGTGATGCGGGCGCCAAAGAACTAGGGCACCTGGCTAAGGGTGTTGTGGAGGACGGTGGGCTAGGTGCCCTACAGTTTCTTAATTTCTTAGGCCTTCATTAGGCCGTAGAATCTGTAGAAAGTGGTGGTCTTGAAAGATATACTCTGAGTCACCAACATGGAAGTGGAGTTCACCATCTCTTTGTAAAGGAAAAAGCTGCATTCCAGGGGTGGCCTGCTTCCACTTAAATGATTATTTCGGGGGGTGGGGGTGTAAGCCCGCAGTGAAACAATGATCCTGTGCGAACCATCAAATAATATCAAATAATCAATGGTGCTTGCAATATATGATGGTGCTTGCAATCCTAGCGGGGGTAAAGAGCATATTTTATTGTATAGGCTGTAGTATATATATATATATATTAGGTGCAGGACACAGCCCGGCTGGGCTTTTCATGGTGCACCTCCCAGTGAGTCAGAAGGTGATTCAAGAGCCTTTGAGCGTCTTCGATCGACTTGGTTGAGCGCTCGAACTCGTTGGTTGGGAAGGTCGGGGCACCAAGAAGTACAGTACCAAACACTGGAGAAAAAAGAGCGGTGCTTTTGTGGGCCACAACCTAATTATACAACTAAATGTCCAAGTCCTGCTGCATGTGATGTCATTTGCTGACTGGCTGTGGTGTGCAGCAAGAACACTTCATCATCTAGAACGACCACCAAACATTCTGATCGATATTTGCGGTGGGTTGGGCATCAGACATGCCTATCCGAGAGGCCTGAAAGGCCTTGCCCAAGTCCGCTTCGCTAAAGCCGTGGAAGCCTCCGGTTACGACGACATCGAGAGAGAACAGGTTGACAACTTTGAAGATGGCTGACTCCCTCAGTTTACACTGTAAAGTAAAGGTTGTATAAGTCATGTAGCCATATGTAGCCGTACTTTCCACCTGCATATTTAGTGATGAAATGCATCCCCAAAATAAGGTTCAAGGTTATCCACTTTTCCTGGTGTTGGCCGTAGGAACGCTTCCAAACGGATGGAGCAACGCGCCGAAACCCTTGAAACATCGTTGGACAGCTCTGGCTCTGGCTCTAAACTTGCCCCCTCCTAAGCCTTAAGCACCAGCTAGCACGACATATGGCGGTCAAAACCCTGGCACCCTCATTGACCCCCTAACATGAACAGATTCCTCTACAAAGGAGGTCCACCTACTATGGTTTTGACTCACAGCCGATGTTCGTCACACCACTGGAAAAAGGAGCGTGTCCACTCCAAGAATACCATCCACAACAGCTGCCGTCCTGTCACCTTCCCTCCGACCTCGTCAGATTCAATGTCCTCCCCTCCCTCCCAAAAAGACCCATCACCCCCACCAAGCACGTGAACTTTCTACATCCAGCAGGCAAAAAGGGGTGCTATCCATGGAGGTTAGGGGTGCTCATTATCCACTCACTTGGGGACTAAACACCACCCCATCTTGTTACTGCTGGATGACTTGTCTTGCTCCACCTCCTCGCTGCCCACCCTACTTCGGGCGCTGCACCAAGCAACTCGGGTCCAACTCAGGGACGCTCTCCGACAGGCCCTGGCGCTGTCTGATGTGAGAGCGGTCTGAGACATGTTTGACCCAGACGCTCATGGGCCCTCATATGGAGGGGTCGGACCCTCATATGGAGGGGTCTGGGGTCTCAAATCCCTAGGGTTTTGAGGTACCAAGAGCTGTTTGGAGCGTCTGGGGAGTGTCCTTTTCTATATCTTACGCGTCAAGAAAACGAAACACTCCCGAGAGAGGGGTATAGGGAAGGGTAGGGGGTAGGAGAAACAACAAAACACGCAAGAACTGCACCACGCGAATTCGTCAACTGAAAAACATCTACCACACATGGATCCACCAATTTGCCAAACTTTATGCCGTCATTGCCCATCTACGCTTGGCACGCATGCCCAACCCACAAGACACGGCCGCTGTTTCTCTCTTTTTTTCGCACCCCATACTTCTTGCAAAGCTCATCTTCGAATTGATGGCATTTCTCGATGAAGTCTTTCACCGTAATGTCACTGTCCCCAAGGTCGCCTGGCCAACAGCCAACTAGAGGTGCTAGCTTTTTCAGGTGTCAACTGGCCGACGTTGCCGCCGTGTGCCTTGAGATCTTATGAGTTTCTGGCATGTTCTGATTTTCATAAGTATAATATATATATATATACCTAGATCTTCAGTCCGGCACTTTTACAGGGTCCGGCGCCGGACTTCCAACTCCGGCGTTTTTCTGGATTTGGTCCGGCAGTTTTTCCAAGTCACTTGAAATGTGGATTAAGGCTTTGCATTCTTTGTGGCTTGCATTTCTTTGAAGGTAATGATTTGCTTGCAAAGTGTGATCGTTTGCCTGTTCCGCTGTGTTCTCATTCCACCGGTTTCAGCATGGTTCACCCTGGATCAATCAGATCCGTTTAGGTGATCTTCTAAGTGAAATCGGATGAAATTGGTACAGTGCGATGCACGTGTTGAAAGACCCAAGTGGGTGTACCTAAGCTGAAAGAACATAGACAAAGATGGACTCTGACTGTTTCAGGATGTCGGGGCGCTGGGATATAATTAGTTCTAGTTGCGCAGGTTTGCAGAGCCTGCCGGACAAGTTTTGGGCTGTGGAACATGTGTTGTTCAGAGTCTCAATGTTTTGCAGAGAGTTGCTAAGAAAAATTGCACGTCGTAACTCCGGCGTTTTTTTCCCGTAACTCCGGCGTAATTTCCCGTAACTCCGGCGTAATTTCCCGTAACTCCGGTGTATTTTTTTGGACTCAGTCTTTTGAATTTTGAAAAGTTTTTCAACTAAGAGTTTCGACAGGAACCATGAGTGCTGCTACTTTATTGGCGGGGCCGTCCTGAGGCAAGCTTTAATACAATTTAAAACCATATAAGAATCATGGAGAGCCACTTTGTAAAAAAACAATTAGAGACACGGGTGCAGAGAAATAGGGGTTCCTTGCCACATACTCCTTGGTTTCTTCTTGGACGTCTTTGCTTGGGCACAAGTTTGCTTATATTTTGTGATGGTTCTGCTCTTAGGCCATTCGGAAGATGGGCGAGGGCAATGGGAACGGGAAGGCTCCAGTGCTGGGTTGTGGAATGAGTGTGTTCCAGAAAAAACTACTCGTGGCGCAAAGGCAGTTTGCTTGTGTATGATCCAGCCTTTTATCATCTCTGTTTTTCAGAATCTTGGATCCGGATGTTTTTTCAGGTCTCCGGCGTTTTTTTCGGAATCCGGCGGAAAATTTTGCCGGATTGAGGTCCGGCACTTTTTTCCGCCCAAAGGAGGATCCAGGTATATATAATAAATATACAATATACAAACATATGTATCTATCTATACCTATCTACATTATGGGACACTGCCAATTGCCTTGGACATCCTAGTGCGGCGCTGCACTTCTGTTCATTGTGCCTCTCAAATGCTCCGAGGCGTCTGCACGCTGCTTCTGCTCATTGAGGCGGGCCAAGTTGGTCGCCGCATCCGCCACGACGGTCTGTAAGACCTAGATGTGCATCGGATGAGTAGGGCGCTTGGAAGCGCTGGTTGCAAGCGCCAGGTGCACGCAGCTTCTGCTCATCATTAATCTAGGAGCCGCCACTAAGTGTTGACTGTTGAATGAATCTTCTAGCCTTTCCGGCCACAAAGAGTATTACACAACTACCCCCCAAGAAGTTACATTGATAGCAAATTGTCTCAAAGGCACATCCTGGAATGAATCACCTGAGTATTCCAGCGCCCTTGGGGGCGGGAGGTTAAGGGACCCCCAACCAGATTGAAATCACCACAAGCCTGCTGGATCTTTGCATATTGCCGGTCAGTGCATATACAAGGCTTTGGGTTTAGTACGGAAAGAATCACTAGGTCAGTCGTCTGCCTCCAGCGCTTTTTCACTGAAGCTATGCCAACAAACGCAGCAATGAAGGAAAGGAATCTCTGTATTGGACAATGAGCACTTCCATGCACTTCCTGTTTTTGGTTTTGGCTCCCACCCAACAGGAAGACTCCCCAACAGGTCCACGACCTCAATTGCCGTTGTTCATGGAACCAATTCCACGAGTACGTCACCGACCGACCGGGACCAGTGGTCGACCGGGGTCAGACTGGACCTGTAGGGTATTCGATAGTACTCCACGTTGCTTCCAACTTCTCCAGTCACGTCCTGGGAACCCCAAGTTTCCATGTCCAGCCGCCGCGTCCTCCAACGTCTCGAGCAGCCGCTGCACATCCTCGAGCCGCGCGTCGGCACGTCGCGCGTCCGCACGCGCGCGACTGGCGCGACGGTGGGGAGGTGACGTCCTTCACGCCCTGGAGGGGAGGAGAAGGGGCAGGTCCACCATGAAGTCAAATGCAAAGGGATCGCCCAACACGAAGAGGAGTCCAACATGAAAAGGGATGAACTGAATCTCTCGATTGGGAAAAGGGTTTGTGTGTTCATGGTGGTCCGTGCATGATGTTTGACGCACTCAGGCGTGGAATGATCTGACATTTGTGGGGCGCTCCCTTTTAAGTGCTAGTTAAAAAGGATTGGCAGGGTTTCACCACCAATTTTCATGTAAATGTAGATCCCTAAAGCTCTCCTCGCCGACCATACACATGCAGTAACTTTCTTGTGGTCAACCCGCATCGGGCCAAACATCTGATGTAACATGGCGCACATGTGTCGTGCGTATGTGTGAGCGCACAAGTACCCGCTCGAGACATGCTCTGGATGGCCAGTCATTCAATGTAACCCCAGCCCGTTCACCAGTCCCATGCCCAGTCCCACCCCTGTTTTCGGCCCTCAGGCCACAGAATCGAAAGGGAAATGGTCTTTCAGGGGCTGTCTGTTTCCACTTCCATTGCCCACATTTTTTCTGAAAAGACATTGGCCCCTCGGATACAGTGGATCATTGTGGATCCAATGAGAGGCGCTGGAGAAATTGGGGAACAATGTCTCATATGTTTGAACAGCTCCACACAAACCCCAAAACATGACCTGTCGTGTCCAAACACCACTGGTCGTGCTGGCCAGGAAACTGACAGCAGCTGGCTCTTCACAGCTTCCTGGTGCTCACATACATGTGAGAAGCAACAAAAGATGCGCCACCTGGCACTCACCCGGTAGCTACGCCAAATTATATCTGCATCCCTCTTGCAGGTCGCTAATTACATTCGATTGAACAGAGATACCCTTGTCTGAAGGTATGTGTTCCTCCACGTGCACTTGCCAAACGTCATAAAAGCATCAGGGCACGGGCCGCACTGATGCCCCGCTCATGAGGCAGTGACGCTCATGAGGCGCCCATTGCCGAGGCGGGAGAACCCCCATTCGTAGCGATGCCCCGGTTACTAGCTAGTAGCTTCTTGCTCCTAGTAGTATGGCCAGGAGCGCTAGTAGCGTCCTTGCTCCTAGTAACTAGCGATGCCAGGAGCCCCTAGTAGCTTCTTGTTGTAGCTGATATGGTCGTGTGGCTCAAGTTAGGGAGGCCTGCCGGCCGCGTGCACCTTTTTGGGGTCCGGGTGTTTCGGGACAAAGGCCAGGTCTTGGGATCATGGACAGGCTCGCTTTGGAGTTTTACTGCAGTGGTTGAAGAACCCTAGTTCGACTATCCCAGTTGGGTACCCGAGGTTAGGGGTCCTAGTTCAGGTCACAAACAACCTCTGTTGGTCAAACTGCAGTGGTCCAAGGAATTTCTTTCAACACCAAGACCTCTTCTGTCGCCTCTTCCTTCGCTGGCGTCCACTCATACAAGTTCGAGGCCTCTTCCTTGGTGACCAGAGAGCGAAGAAACACCAAGCAACACCTTCCAAACATGCCGGGGATGAAGCGGTGACCGAAATGGAGGGGTGCACCCTGCGAGGTGCCAACAAAAAACCAGAATCGAACGGTTTAGATCAGCCAAGTTGAGGTTCTCCTCAGGGATGATAAACAAAGGGCCTGCGGCCATCACAACTTAATTTCGTCGAAACAGCTCAATTTGTTGTAGTAGGTCAAACACGTGCAGGGCTTCATGAGGGTATTCTCAATGGGACCGGGCCATTTGCTCCTATAAACACCTTCTGAGACTCTGCTATCACTTAAAAACGAGCTGTACCATATCCGCTATAGCCGCTATAGTCCGACATCCGGAGGCAAAAGCTGCTGGAAGACTTCCTTCGCTTCATTCGTTTGGGGAGATACACCTTCCCGATCTCAGCGTCGAAGAGTTCTCTGAGTTCTGCCATCTTCAAGGCCTCCGAACAACGCGCGCATGTCCGGCCAAGGGTGGACCCTGAAAAGTGCTTGACTTCGCATTCCCGTTCGGCCTCCGTTTTCGTACCGAACCGTTTCGGTTCGGTGGGACGACGAAGTCGGTGTAGGGTATAAAGGAATCTCTGAAGTGGCCAAGCTTTGTGCGATCGACTTTTTGGGCCAAAACCTTCTGAACTGCCAGGCCATCCTGCCAGCAACTGCCCTGCGTGATCCTTCGGGCTAAGCTTGGAACCAGTCTTTCTGGTGAATTGTTGGAAGCCCACATTGAAATCATGAAGCCAATGTTCCACACCACCAGACCCTCCTGAACGAACAGTGACAAAA